AAAGCTTCTTCGATTGTCCAGGTAAAGTAAGAAAAAATTCAGATTATATTGTACTTTTTAATGGAGCAGGGACTTATAATGAGCTAGTAAATATTGCCTAGCGATATACAAAAAATTGGCGTAATGTTATTGATATACTTGATAAAAATTTACAGGGTCAAGAATTTATTGTGATTGACCGGACTAGGGCAAAGGAAGACTCTTTTTATATTTACAGAGGTTGGGACCAGGCACTTGATCTTTCTAATGAGTAGAGTGAGATTTCAGATATTCAAGGTATTTTTCTGTCTGTTGTAATTCTATCTTCTTTTCTTCAACCTCAGATCGCAATTTCTTATTGGCTTCGATCCGCTCCTCATGCTGTTTAGTGATTTCTTGTATAAAGGAGCCAAAAGTTTTTTCATTATATTCAAGTAATCGTTGACATAAATTATTTAATTCTTTCTTAACCTGGCGATTGATCTCTCCCTCATGATCGCATGTACAAATTGGAACAATATCTTGGGTTTGGGATTCTTGATTAACCATGTTTATATTATATGATAAATTTTCAAGTGGTGATGGATTTCGACAGTGATATTTTAACTTTTTTTGATATCTATTTATCTCATGTCTTAAAAATGACTCGACCAATGGATTCACTGCGCTGGCTTTCTTCTCTGTCATTGAATTCTGCTTGCGAGAGACTAAACGAGTCCAAGCTTCATATGCTAGTGAGGGTGGTAATTGGCGAATCAGATCTGAATATGCTTTATTGAATTTCATTATATAATATCGAGAAACTAATATTGTATTTTATATTGTAGAAAAAATTGGAATCTTCCATGAAAAATATGAAACATATACTAACAAAAAAATGTTATCAGCCCTCAGGGATAACGAAATAAAGTCTAAAGTACTAGCTCTCAGGAATACTTAAGATGATTTTATTTTAAAGATATATATATATATATATGAATAAGTTATATAATTAATAAATAGATTAAATCGAATAAATAGATATGTGTTACAATAAATTAAGCTATACATTGTTAACTTGTCACATCCCTTCTCGAACTACTCATAATAATTTGTAGTGTTGAGCGAGTTCTGTTGCCTTGAGGCAGGTTTGTAATATCATTCAATAAATTAAATATAATAATTCAAGATAAAAGTTAAAGAAATCTAGTCTCAATGAGAAAATTATCGTTAGAAGATGCTTATAGTATTGCTGAGTCTCGTGGTGGAATATGTATTTCTACAGAATATAAAAATGCAAAAAGTCCATTAATATGGTGTTGTTCTAAAAATCATACATGGACTGCTTTACTAAAAAAAGTTAAATGTGATGGATCGTGGTGCCCACATTGCGCAGGTCATGTAAAGCTTACTCTTGAAGATGCTATACAAATCGCAGTATCTAAACGTGGTCAATGCCTTTCAACAGAGTATGTTAATAGTAAGAGTCCAATGTTATGGAAATGTCATCAAGACCATATTTGGAGTACTCCATTTAAAAATATTAAATATTTAAGAACGTGGTGTCCACATTGTGCGGATATGCCATTTCAAGTTAAATATTCTATAAATGATGCACATAGAATTGCCAAAAGTCGAGGTGGACAGTGTCTTTCTAATAGTTTCATTAATTCAATGATGCCATTGCAATGGAGGTGCGCTAAAAACCACAAATGGACCGCTTCACTTGTTCAAATTATAAATAGTGAATCATGGTGCCCATATTGTGCAGGGAACGCACATTACACAATTGAAGATGCTAGACAAGTGGCTCGAAGCAGAAATGGATATTGCCTTTCTAATAAATATATTAATAATAGCACAAAATTGCAATGGCGTTGTGTTAAAGGTCATGAATGGTTTGCTTCATTTGCTAAAATCAAAAATAGTAGATCATGGTGTCCAGAATGTTCTCATAGAAAACCTTACACTCTTGAATATATTAAGCAATATGCATATAATAAGAATGGTAAATGCCTTTCTGAAAAATATATTAATTCTGATACTCCATTACTGTGGCAATGTATTAAAGACCATGAATGGACTGCTCAATTTAATAATATAAAAAATAGTTTTACATGGTGTCTATTTTGCTATAATAAGTTTAAACGAGAAAATTTATACTGTGAAATTGTATCAAAATATCTTGGTCCATCATCAGAGAATCGCTGGTCTAATTTCTTAAAAATACCAGAGCATAAATTGGGATTGCAACTTGATATTCCTTATTATAATTGCGGTTTTGCTATAGAAGTACAGGGGCAACAGCATGAAAAATATCACGAATTCTTTCATAGAGGAGATCCTAATAATTTTGTCCGACAGCAAAAGCGGGATCAACTCAAGAAAGAATTATCTGAAGAAAATTGGATCATTTTAAGGTATGTCTGGTATTACAAAGACCCATATATAGTTATTCCAGAGCATCTTCGAGAATTGGGTCTTATTGAGTAAATCTAAAACTTTAAATGCTCATACAGTTCATTTATTGTTATGTATAAATTATAATATGACATAGGATATATGTACATAAAGATTTTTTATCAATCGAAATCTAAATATACTTTATTGAATTTCATAATATCGATAAAAAAATTATGAGAGCAATAAATAAAAATCTAGATAAATTATATATGAATATGTTATACATTAATAAATAGATATAGTTTATACATTGTTAATTTGTCACATTTCTGCTCTAATATTTTGTAAACATATATAATGAAAGGCGAGCTCCTGAGCAGTTAATCCTGATGGGTGATAAATCCATTCAACAACCTTCTGTTGTATAGTAATACATGCTCGAGTCTTTTTTGCTGTCTCTCGGATATTTTTAACTCTTTTGATGACATTATTTAACCACATTTCATATCGATCAACAGCTCTTGCTGTGAAATAAGGAATGTTATCTCTGGGCTTGTCTTTAAGCTTCATATATTCTTTGAAGTCTATATCACAATATCTACTTCCAGTACAATTTGTATGCCAATGCTTTTCGATTGTAGATCCGTGATATTCTCCATAAATACATTTCTGATCAACATAAACAAGCTGATCACAACTATGACATATTGTAATATTTACTTCAAAAGCACTGTCAAGATCACCTTCCCATAAATATACCATCTTCCTAGCAACCATATATCGCTTATGAGTTTCAGATAAACAATTATTTTTTCTATAATTCATCAACTAATCCCAGATTCGTTTCTTCCAATCAGATGGAGTTTCACCTTTATGGATTACTGGAAATCGACAGTTATCTCTCCATTCAGTATCACTCAAAACTGGGCATTTATCTGTATAGATCATATTTAGCAATTAAGTGATTTAACATGTTTTTGGAGATTATGTGATTATATCAAATTTAGGGATTTAGACCTATTAGATTTGGTTTGATATAGATACTTAAAACTGGATTCATTTTTTGTGCAGATTACGGTGGAAATTATAAAACTTGATATAGTTATACATAGTATAAAGTTTATAGGTTTTGCTCCCATACCGAAAAATATAGTGTATAACTCTTTAGAGCTGTGAAAAGTTTCAGATGATATGTTACTAATGCAATCAGACTATTTAGAAACAAGTCTGTAACTCATATAGGTTGATATATTGAGTTTTCAGTATTAGCTTATACTGTATTTTCAGCATTTTAGTGAAGCTGATACAAGATGACATACTGGCTTATACCAAGTAGTAAATTTTGTATGTGTTGGATGGGATGGGTTCAGAATATATGTAATACCAAAGGCAGTCACAGAGTGGCTATTTTTATGGTATGGTAAATCTTTCAGAGAAAGTGCAGTTTGTGTATTAGAGTATGGGAAGTAAAGTTTCTCGAGTTCAGGCATTGCTATTTATATAAAAAATTGCTCGTATATATATTGTATATATATTATTCAGTATAAACAATAATTAATTGAGTAGATGAATCAACTTCCGTGATTGTTATATAAATGAAAAATCTATTCCAGACATGTGAAATCTATTTCGGGCATATGAAATCTATTTCGAGCATGTGAGATCTATTTCGGATGTGCTACAAATATTGTGCAAACATATGATTTGATTTTCAGATACGACTTGATGCGTCCGATAAATAATGCGTGATGCTTATCCAGCAAAAAATATATACTGTATATTAATCATCATATAATCAGTGGTCTATGCTTTCACAGTTACTATTTGAATTGGATTCTGATAATTTTCCCAACAATTGAGACGATAAGTTTTTGTATTAACATAATCCCCACCATCTCATTCACCCTTTATATTATCTCTTATATTTTCTTTTTTATGATCTTTATTGCATAAAGAGCAGGATACTGAACTGTTAAAATAATCACCAGATTCATTACTATATTTCAAAGATAAAATGGGAAACTGTTCCAATGCCATTTTGATAACATGTTTTTTTTTCTCTTTCAGATCATCGGGTAAGACAGAAATTGAAGGTCGGAATTTGTTAGATATATTTACATAGGATGGGGATGGTACACTTGCTTCAGTATTTGGTAATTTTTCTGAATCAGTAGGAATAGATTTAGTAGATGTATTTATCTCAACTTCTGATAATTTCGAATCTTTATCATTTTCTTGGGATAAATCCAAAAGAATTGATTCAGTAGGTATACTTACCTCAGTTTTCAGTGAAGTATTCTTGGTTAAATTTTTTCCGGGACGGACCGTCTCAGAAATTTCAGTCACATGAGGTAATTTTTCTAAAAGATATCCATAATCTATAACCTCTTGAATTTGCTCATTAGTAAGCTCTAAAAGAGAATTCGCACTATAAGAATTAATATACTTGATCTTATCTAGACCCACTTTTTCGAAAAATTTATAGTTTTTCTCAGCTCTCTGAGTTTTCTTACGCAAGCTATCCCGTGGTACATTCCGAAGTTGTAGCTCCAATTCTTGTGATCTTTTCTTGCGGAGGATAGAAAGCTGTTCTGTGATGGTATCATAAAGTATACTTCTTGCCTTCTTTTCACCAATTTTACCACCACCGCTTCTGATAATCTTATCAAGCTGATTTCTGAAATCCTTCCAGTAGAGGCACCAATATAGAATTTCTTCCTGATTAGCTCGATTTGCTCTATCTTCAGCATCGATAGCTTTATAATATAATTGAGCTAGATGTTGTGAAGCTTCATCAATGTTGTCATAGGTAACTTTTCCGAGACGGCCCATCCTGAAAATTTCAGTCACATTATTGTAGTTTATAGAGGATAGACTATCTGATTCCAAAGGGGGATTGAATAATTCGTGCTTGAGTTTATCCATTCCTTTTTTCTTATGTGATCTGTTACCCCCGGCAACTCTCTTTTGATCATAGATCACTGCATCAGAGGTAGGACACTTGAGCGAACCTAGGTCGACGTTTTCACTGACTTCGGGTGTTAAATTATTGCATGGTTGAATAACCGAGTTGAGCTCTTGAGGCATTTTCTTTTCAGGATGGGATTCTTGGGCTTGAAGTTTCTTTTCCCAATTTCTCTGCTTAATTGCGTCGTTAACCTTTTTCTTATGCACCTCATTCAAGAAAGCATCCATTTTCTCGTCTTCCGATGCCGGCGCATCCTTACTTTGTGAGACTACTTGTTTATGAGTATCGTTAGAATTTGTTTCAGGAGAAATAGGAGATACAGAATATCAGCCATCATTTTCCTGGAATATATTGGAACTATTTTCTACCTGTTCAGAAATATCAGAATTTGAAGCATTATCAGATATATTAGATGCTATATCATCATTAGATTTTTCCGTTTCAGTAGAGGTGATATTAACTGAAGATTGGTTAATTTCTATGGTATCATCCAATTTAGCGATATGGTTATTTTTTTCATCATTTTGTAACTGCTTCTGTTCCAATTTCGTAATTCTAACTTTAAGTTCAGCGTTTTCAGAAGTGGTATCTATATCGTTCTGCTCCAGTTTCATGAATCTGGATTCATGTTCTTCCAAAGCCTGTTTTAATTTTACATTCTCAGCTTTAAGATCAATGTTTTCAGCCTTGATCTCGGCGTTTTCTTTTTTAAGTTCTGGTATTTCAGCATTTTCTCGTCTAAGATTATCAATCTCGACTGTAAGCTTGGAATCTGTTCTTCTAATAAATCGACTTTAGATTGTGTGTTTGCCATTTTTTATATAAGGTTGCAGATTTATTCAAAACCTTTTTATTATGCAGACATGTAAGTTATTCACGCAATTAAAATTTGCGGGACGGGCCGTCTCGGAAAAATGCCAAGAAATTCTCGATCATATAGTAACATCAATACTACGTGTTAAATCCCAAAATACATATGCAGAAAGTAACGCAATTATGTATGCGAAATTTTTAGAATTTATTAAGTGTAATATATACGACGATTAATTTCCCAGTGTGACTATATGAGGATGTACATATTTTTTTACATAATTGCTTTTTCCGATAATATACTTTTAATGATCGTCATCCGAGATATACAAATGTTAATCTTTGCTTTTTAGCTTTTACGCGTGATAATTAGTATTTCATTTGGGATCATCGCTCCGAGATATTCAAATCCGAGATGTGCAATTTTCTAGCCGTTAATTATATGTCTTGATACTAGCTCCGCTATACTCATAATTAAGATGTAATATAGGCACGATGAAGGCACGATGAAGGTACGATGAATTTTTTTCTTATAAAAACGTATGGAATTATCATATCTCAGTTGAACATCCGTTGAAGGATCATCTAAATTTTTGTGATGTGGACTGACGATCAATTACGCTTACTAATCGACCAGAGAAAAAATCACAATGCCGAGTATCATGACATTCCCGGTAGTAGTAGGGTTGATTTCTGGAATAGTATTGCAGATACAATCAATGAACGATTTAGAACTACCTATACAGGACAACAATGTAACAATAGATTTCAGAATCTTGTTAGAGATTACAACGTAAGCGTTAAACTTTATATATCACTTTAACTATGACATCCCTGTAAAAAAAACGGGCCATTTTTGACCCGGAAAATTCCCGATTTTTGAGTCTGAAAATTTCTGGATTTTTTTCTGATTTCTAATATCCGATTTAAATCCGGAAATTCAATGGTTTTGTTAACAAATTTCCGGAAAAATA